GGCTTGGCCAAAAGTTACGGGTGCGAGACGTTTTGACCTTTTCTCGTTTTATATTTAAAATGCGACTTATCATATTACATTGCTTAGAATGCCTCCATTTTCTTTCACCACCATCTATAACATGTGGTACAGCTTAAGTTTATACCGTGATGAGATTTTTTAAAACAGTGATGGCTTAGAAAATGGGAGGTCTGAAATCCGATGTCGTGGGTACTAATCCAAATTGCGAGCGATGATTTTTTTGTTTTCGTTAAATCCTTTATGAATGAAACTGTCTTATTAACGAAGTGTAATTCGGTGTGGCGAAAAGCTGTAGTCTGGTTTGGTCTCTAATGATTACACGATTGTCATATATTTTTATAATGGCCGTATAAACTATAGCCTTTCTACTGTTTTTAGTTGGTACGCAATAACTTCCATAGTTTTTTCACCGAAATTAATTATTCAAACATCAATTTATAGCTTTATATGTTTTTCACGTTAAAAATAGACTACTTTTAAAAAAGTGATTCTCATCTTTAAAAAAAAATTGGTTGAAAAAAGTATATTAAATATTACCATTCGGCGAAATTTTTTCTATAGATATTCTAGTCCCAGAGGACTTTTCGCAGTTTCGCGAGTCTTGTAACCGATGAAGCTTTACGAATTCCCAAGGACTCAAAGCGAAAACAATCACACAAATAGAATAAAGATATACAGATATTGAATTCTTTATCACAAAATGTTCAAACAGGGCATAATAGTTCCTTGAAGATTATTCCATGATGTTTACGGTTTGGAAATTTAAATTGTTTATAGTGCTAATCTTTGCACTTAAGATTGAACATTAAAATATGTAGAAAAAGTGCGAAAAGATTGTCGCCGCTGTGGGAATCGAACCCACGTCTTCGGCATTCGCGGCCTGACGCTCTAGCCACTGAGCTAAACGGCTGATTACCACACCGACGAAAATCTTAACACATTCCTCCACATTGTTTTCTAAGAAACGAATGCCGAAGACGTGGGTTCGATTCCCACAGCGACGACAATCTTTTCGCACTTTTTCTACATATTTTAATGTTTACGGTTTGGTTATGTTTATTGATATGAAGAAAATAAGTTAAGAAGGAGGTGACGCTCCCGACTTCATTCTTTTTAGTCTCCACATCTAATTATTTTTAATTGACCAAGAGAGATTAAAATAGCGTAGGTACTTTCCAGTAACTAGCATTAAAAAAATGGGCACACCTTTCTTGTTCAATATTCAAACGAATTAAAAAGAAACAAATGAAAGGAGGTCCTGCAATTCGCCACATTCTTTTTTCAAATTTATATACAAAAAACGCGCGTCGAATCCCCCGCTCCGATTACGTACGCGTTGTACGTCTCGGCTCATCTAGTCGGATGCCGCTCTCAGTTACAAGTTCATATCGACACCGCTACGAATACGAAATTCGTGGACCTATTCTCATGCCGCGCGATAATTTATGTCGCCGCGGGCGCACGGGGAGCCCCACTAAAAGGGAAAGTCGTATGCGACACGCATTCTGTGCGCGCCTCGGTTATTGATGAGGCGGTCGTGTACTATGGTACGGCGAGATCGAAACGCCAGATGCGTAAATATAAATAATGTAAATATGAATTAGTACACCCTAACAGGTGGAAATAGACCCTTCACCTATATGTACTCAACGTATGGATGCTTCTATAGTTTTGTATTTAAAACATTTTAAACATGGGGCAGGTTATCATTACCATTTCTTCTTGTGTAAAGACAATAAATAATTAATTTAATAGTAAAAAAAAATAATTATACCATTTAACAGACTTCATGGCGTTTGATTTTAATTTCAATTTTCGACACGGATATCCAGTCACTACATTTTAACTGGATTGATAGATAAACAGATATTTTTTTCAATTTTAATAAATGAATAAATATTTGTTTTAATACCTCATAACTGAAGAGTTTTCGGGACGATTTTAGTGACACCGTTCCCTAAGACTTAAATGAAACCCTGTAAAATAAATTCTTCGTTGTGACTGCCCCTAAAGTGGGTTTACCTAATAAATGTTCAATAAATTTCGAAAAAACTGATTTTCCTGATAGAAATCCCCCGCCGCTTGGCACGGTAAGCTGCACTCTCTAAGCGATTTGTCCAGATCCCACCGTATTTTCGATCGAAAATTGATACGAACGTAAGTTTCAATCATGCCCACATCTCAAATGACTTTTCCGATAGTTCACGATTCGGTCCCGCGTTATAACTTCCCCGAATGTCATATCAAAGTTTCCGGGAATAAAAATTATGAACAAAATTTTTATAGTACCGCTGCGAAAGACTCAAATTGTTTCTCTGTATACATTCAACGTATAAATCGGGCCTGTTTTTAACTTGTTGTTGAACCTTATATTAGACTAGTAGCTGCCCGCGACTGCGTCTGCGTAGAATAGGCTGAAGGTGTATCATTAAGACAGATATGAGATATGTCTTATTCTGATGTATAAGCTATATTATTGTAAAGTTTCATTAAAATAAATTTATTAGTATTTGCGTGAAAGAGTTACAAACATACATCCATACATACAAACTTTCGCCTTTATAATATTATAGCGGACTAAGGACTAAGGATTGCTATGAACAGTCTGAAAAGAAATATTTTTCGTATCAAACATAAGATAACTGAACTCACTTTAATGGTTCCGTATAGTAAAAGAAACCCTTTTATTGTCAGGTTTCAAGAAGAAAACTTTAAATCGATTACGACACATCAAAAACCCGGCCAAGTGCGAGTGGGGCTCGTGCAGGAAGGGTTCCGTACCATCTATAAAAATGGCAAAAAAAATCATGTCTATTGTATGGGAGCCCCATTTAAGTATATTTTTGTTGTGTTTTTAGTATTTGTTGTTATATATCTAACTATCACGGTTCCTGAGATACAGCCTGGTGACAGACGGACAGACACAGCGGAGTCTTAGTAATAAGGTCCCGTTTTACCCTTTGGCTATGGAACCCTAAACGAGAGCGAGTTACGAGCTCGTAATTACATTTTAATTAACGAAACTAAAAATGCGTTTTTGCAAAAGTTTTTGATATGTTCAAAACTAATATTCTGAACAATAAAAAGAAAGTAACAACGGATATATTTTTAATTTCGTTTTTGCACGTAAATAAATTATACAGAATACAAAGGTTGACCGTAAAAGGATCCTCTAATTTTCAAATTGTTGGAAGGCCCACTTAAGGCCCATTGAATGTATTCCACAAAAGGACAACGAGATTCTTTACGGTTTTCAAGTGCTTTTGAACGGTGTATGAAAGAATTACTTAGTTTGGTGATTTTTAAATTTTATTATTGGATTCTTTTAATAATTTTTGTTTTTTTGTTGCACCGATGCTGGTCCTAAACGCACGTGCAATAGTTTGTTACAAGCAATAATCGTCAGGAAAATGTTGTTAATTATTACAAAAATACTTACTTAATATTATAAACTCGAAATTTTATGGATGGATGTTTGTTACTCTTTCACGCAAATACTATTGAATGGATTTTAATGAAACTTTACAATGATATAGCTTATACATCAGAAAAAGATATGGGCTATAATTTATATACATATTTAATGTATATCTATATTTCTGTCTGAATGTTACGCCTTCAGCCTATTCTACGGAGCCGAAGTCGCGGGTAGCAGTTAGTTTTAGATAGAACTCGTAATTTTCAAGCTTAGTGTACCACGCAACACCAATACTATTTCACGTATGGGTAGGCTAATCCGGGTGGGTACCACGGCCTCACAGAAGACCGGCGTCATGTGGAAGTATTACACTTCTGCGATTCGTCTGGTGACTGAGGTAACTCAGTTCTATGTTATTGAAAGGGGACAACGCGTCAGCAGCCCTACGGGTGCCGCAAACGCCATGGGCGGTAATTATATATCGTCAAATGAACTGACAACTCCGGATTAGTAGCAAGTGCATATTTACAGAAGGATGTCAAACGAGTAAGTCCGTCCTGTGACGATAAAGTTACTAAACTCTAAAAGAAAGACTATTTTGTAACTATAAGTATTTTAAACACCTTTATTTAGAAAACAATTCTGTATTAACACTGTATCCCTCTCTCTCCGTTTCCTTGCATCTTTTTCGCGCGCACTATTATACTTAAAACAACTCACGACCCACCCCGAAACTCGGTGCCCCCTCGCAAATCTGCAAAAAGCCGCGGCGGCAAAAGCGCAGATGTAAGCGCTTTACGATGATTACTCGCCAAGGAACAATGGCCACTTATTGTTTTATGGCGGGCGCTTACGGACGCGAAAAGCGCTGACACCTACCGCTGGAAGCGGCTAATACCATTTTATAATCGCCTGGAAAATAAGTAGATAAAAAGAAAAAAATATTTTTAAGATAATAATTTTTTTTTTTAAATTATTAAGCTTTGGTCAGTACGCCATGCTGTTTTTTTAAATGACGTTTTAAATTAATCTTTATTGAGATTATTTAGCTGCTATATTTAAATACTGCTTTACATGTCCATTAAATTCGTAACAGACTCCTGTTAAGATTAAATGACGTATAATTTTATGTGAACACAACACACACACATTTTATGTGAACACAACAACAAGTGAACTTTATTTTCATGTGACATTGATTAGTTACTAAACTGTAATTGATTTGCATAGAATGAACATATTTTCAACTTGAAAAATGCGGAAAGTATTATACCATGAGTTGTAAGAATGACTGCGATCACATCAATCAATTAAAATGAGCATGGTTTTTTTCGATAACGATTAATTTAATGTATAATTTGCTTGTTACACATTTGCCGTGGCATTTAAAAACTTTTAGAGCGTTTTTAAATTAAAACACTACTTTTATTGATTTTAAAATTAAATTTGCGATATGTAACTTCTAGATAACGTTATCCATTTCGTATTTTGCAATATAGTTCAAAACAGTTGTTGGCCGATAAATTCGTCGATGCGTTATCAACAAATAGTGCGTAAATCATGAAAATAGATGTCGCAGCGTCGCGTGGGTGAAACCCACAAGGATCGTTGGCTGCGCCTTCCAGTAAGGCAGTTCGCAGCTCGGCGCGAATAAAATTATCCTCATTAAATTTTCAATCTCAATTGAACACGTTCGCACGTGTATCACGTAGCCCTCCGCTCGGCTCGCTACGGCGAAAGAATTAATATTACAAATTACGGCATAAATCCCAATCCCCTCCATAAATTTAATACGTAACAATTTGCCCGCTCAAGTTTAAGGACTCCAAATAGGCCTCTAATTAAAACGTTTACTTGGTTCTCTTATAATAAATATTTCTAATGTTCTTTTCTGTACTGTGGCTGCCTCTCAAATTGAGTCGGAATAAATAATATAATACAAAGTATGTTATACCCTCTGTAAAAAAGAGGAGGCCTTTTATGTATAGGCTGTTAACTTATTTAACTTTATTTATATTGTTTTTATGACTTATGCGAAACTTAGAAAAAATAGCGCGTTTTGTAACTTAAACTTACTTTACATATTAAATGAAACTATTATACTTTACGGATTTTATCGCGTTTTTTATTTTGATTAAAATCCCCGACGTTTCGAACCCTTTCCAGCGTTCATGGTCACAGGACAGACTAAGTTGTTATACGTCTTGATGTCATAGTTAACCCCGGCTACCGTCAATTATTTTGTTTATTTTTATTCCGATCCACGCAGAAGGAGCTTTGGTATCTTGAGGCCTGGCAGTGTTGGTGTGCTTGGATTTAATTTAATAAATTATGGGATCCCAAGCAGATGATAAACACCAACCATCTTCTCTATTGAAATTAGGATGTTTCTTTATTTCAATAGCCTCGCGGATCATCCTGGGAAGGAATCGGTGTTCTTTTGCGAGGAAATGAAATTTATGTTTGTTATACTATGTAGTGATAAATAATCTCGCGCGGTATCCGGGCGAAATCGTATGCCGAAGCCGCGTTTCGTCCGAGCCAGCGGCCCATAAAATGTACCGCAAGTCCGTCGTCGATACGGGCCGCGCCATTCTAATCCGGACACAATGCAGGGATTACGCGGGGTCCGAGCGGTCCGTGGGCTTATCCGGCGCGACACTTGGTCACGTACCGAAGAGACTAACACGGGAACGTACTCCGACCGCGCTAATGTTACACTAGCCGTCGCCCGCGGCTCCGCTCGAGTGTATTTCGATATCTTAGATGTCTAGAGCCAACCAGGTCAATTTCAACTAACCGCGAAAATGCACCGGGCAATTTAACGGGCAAACATTTCCTAGTTATTATATTAGCTCAATCGAAACGGTTTTCTCGCGGCCATCTTGAAATTTTCCATGTCACAAATCTAGAGTGGTGTTAAATCTAGATTTATGACAAGAATGATAAGGTAAGGTTTAAGGTTACTTCCTTCTTATTTACATCATTATTCATGTCACGAAGAGGGAAGTAAATTTAGGAACCAAAAATTTAGCTTAATCGGCCAAAAGGCTAAGCGGCTTTTCTAATTGTAATTGATGAACGTCGCCCATGGACTGTCTAAGTCGTACCTGTCATTCCATAAAGCACTTGTGCAAGACACAACATCTCTAATGCGTACAAAAGTAATATATTATAATTTCCTTAGGAATTTTCTACACAGGCTAAGTAACAAACTGCGAGCGGAATGCTACCTGCGTCTGTTCCGATCTCGCCGAAGCGGTCTACCTTTTGTGCTCACACTTTCTAATTCGCAGCACGCTCCCCGCGTCCCAGGGTCGGCCTTTATTGACTAGGCGGGTAACCCGACGCCGCGCTTACGCGAATCTCCGTGGACCGTATGAAATCTGCGGCACTGGATGTAACACAACACCCCGTCATAGATGAAACGGCCACGGAGGCTGGCCTCGCCTCGCAAGTTTCAAGTGGAAACGTTTAAACGTTTACGTGAACCGTTGATATTGTCAATTCTGCAAATCCAAATAAACTAACTTTGGTAGGCCACGCAACAGTCTTCGTTGTGGCACGAATGGGCAGGCCTGGCCGGGGAAGCACCATGAATTCACAAGACCGGCGTGATGTGGGGAGTGAGACGTCTGATGAGTGGAGTAATGGGATCCCACTTAATTAAAAGGAAACGCATCTGCAACCCTACGGGTGCGGCAAATGTCCATGGGCGGCGGTTATCAATCGGTGAATCGCCAGCTCGCATGCAACCTTCTTCGTCATAAAAAAAATCTAGACAGTCTTAATAAGCTCAGAAGCATACCTGCCTGCCTTCATGAGCTATCGTATCTCTCGTAAAAATGTCAATTCAATTAAAAGAAATATATTCGACCTATTTACATCGGCTTTTTTAAATAAAGAAGTGATTGGTTATTAATGGCCATTTGGTAGTCGGGTAAGAAAAAAATAAACAAATGATAAATTGTTCCTTTTTCAAATTGTCGCCGTTCTGTGGGGGCCGTCGGTTGCTCTATGCCGCGGTGGCAGCGGGAGCAACGCCTCGGCGCCGCGCGGTTGCTCCGCACAAAACCCAATCCGTCCCATCACGCCCGTATTATGTGTCCGGGTAGGCGCGAACGGGGGCCCGCCATTATATTCCTATTACGCCACGACGTGGATTCGATTATGGCCGCGCCCCCCACTCTCCCAAGAATGGGGAAGAGAATAACTTATGTACCGAGCAGTTTGTTATTAAATAAACTTCATTCGACGTATTCGAATTTCGTTTTCGTGTAATGAACGATGTAAGCGTGGGTGGACTTCGATGGTTTTTAATGTAGCGTCATTTAGATTAATGGAAATGTGATTATGATTAAATATCAAAGCCCAATTTTCAAAAGGTTGTCAACGCATCGTCATCATCATGCAACCCTCGGGTATAGCAGATGTCTATGGGCGGCGGTATTCACTTAACAGCGTCTGCTCGTTTGACAACTTTTCGCATAAAAAAAATTTTGCGCGGACGATCACGATATGGCGGTTACATAGCTTACATATATATACGTCCCATTTCTGGGCAAAGTTTAGTCTTCGAGTACTTTCGAATTCACGACTCCTTTTAATTATTTATTAGTTATACAAGTTTCCCCAAGACGCTCCACCGGCGAACACGTGGTAACAACAGTGTACAAGTCAATTGATTTTCAATATAGTATCGACGAAAGAAAAGACAATCTTTATTGATCTAATATTTACAAGATTAAATCTATCTAAAATTACATATTATCTAATAAAGCTAATCCACGCGGCATGGTGCCAAGAACGCTAGCTGCATTTCCTCGCTGAATAGTTATGCTTAACCTTTGCGCGAGAAAAGAACCAGCTCTCTTGTCACCAGCCGCGGCGTTAAGCCTAGGACATAAACTTTTAAAAAAAATTTGATGTGCGGGGACCCCACGGACCTAATGTTTCAACAGCAAATGGCACAAATACATAATCTGAACATAAAGACTCATATTTGCGCCATTTACTTACTTCATTTACTTCAATTAAATATTTATTTATGTCAATAATATTTCAATATAATATTTCAATTAACATGTATATGTAATAGATATAAGTTGACAACATCAAGGAATGGAACACAATGATTAAGGAGGCATAATGTTTTCTTAAAAGTCGCTTGAAAATAGGTAGCGATTTTGCCCGCCTAATGTGTAGTGGGAGTGAGTTCCAGAGCCGAACAGCTTCCACAGAAAAGGACTTGGAGTAGAAAGATGTACTATGGGAAGGGTTTCTGAGGATAAGATTTTTAATATTTATTTTTTTAATATATGTATTCCTTTTAATATAATAAGATGCTGTGGATTTCCTGATACTCGTAATGTTTTTTTAACGAACTTATTACTGGACAATACTTACCATCCCTGCCGGGATAGACAAGGCTAAGGGGATTGACCGTGATTGATGAGAGAGGCTCGAACCTATGAGGAAATACACGCAATGACGTAATAAAAAAGTTATAAGTAAGTAATTCGACATCGCCAACAAAAACCTTATCGCTAGTCTACCGTCAGGCTTGAAAGCGCGTCTTTTACATTAAGAAAAGAACGGAAGCCCTAAAATATGTTAGCAGCTCCCCGTTAGTCCCCACCTGGCCCGGGTAATCTCGGAGCGCATTACATTTTTAACCCCGCCTGCACTCGGCGATACTAAACACTCCCGCACATCCATTACTCGCCGAAGTGGCGTCCTGTCTAAAACGCTCAGAATTGAGCGATCTATAGTCATGACGCTTTCATTGGCGTCGACAGCCGAAAGGGGGTACAGTCGCACGCGTAACGCGTCTATCGCGCGATTTTTTTGCGAAATAATACATTTGTTATATTTTTAAGCGACTTTGTTTGTTTTTCTTTCGACTCGAGTGACATGGTTACGGGCTTACTTTTATGTAATTTTTTTATTTTTCTCTTCACGCAACTGGCGTGTGGAGCGCTATCGACTTTTATGCCAGAATTGAGTGCTTTTATTATGTACGTCAATAATGTCTTTTACGACAGCTCTGAGTTCGATACGGTTTTCCTCGAACGAACTTATAAAAGCGGTATAGCCGACGTTTGATCCCGTTACGCGTACAAATAATATTATTATGAAACGTGAACCGACATTTGGACCGTTCAAAGACGGATAAAATATAATTTGCAAATAAGATTGATGCCATAAAATAAAAACATTTCCATGTTGTATAAAAATTCATTTCTCTTTTTCAGTACAATTTCTCAGCGTATATACCTTAGGTAAGAGGTTTAAAAGATAGTTTGAGATGAAACAGTTGTATTAGATAACATAAATTAGGTCATAGTTACGTTTCGGGTCGAATTATCTGCGAATAATATCAAAGCTCACTCAAAAAACGTAGCTCGTTAGAGCCGACTGAATAAAATTCTTTCGCGGAATCCGACGTCAAAATCCAGGCCGTTGATATTTACGAAACTTTCGCTTAAACGGAGACCCATTTTTAGGGACCTAGTTTTGCATTCCAAAGGAATGACGGGCCCGTTCCAGAAGCAGGTGTTTGCAGATTTCTTTTCTACTTTTTTGCGAGAATAATTCGATACTTATCCACGAATCGTGTCCCATTCCCATACCCATTCTCAACGTTTTGTCGTATTCCGTCTATGAAAGGGAAATTAGCGTCTTAACCAAATTGTGTGATTAATTTAATATTGTACATTAATCTAGAAATTTTTGATGTTCGCAATGAACAAACGATTCGAATTATTGTAAATCAAAACCACGGCTATGACAATCAGCAATTGCAGACTGTAAATATTTAATCCGCGTCCAATCTGAAATATCATTAACGGCAACTGATTACGCTCTACACAAACGTCTAAAACTCAATTTGCCGTGCGATGACTTACACTTTTATCTACCGACCCTCTTATTTCCTATGCAATGCTCTCTCCTTTCCCATATCGTCGGACAACACCAAACCGATAGCTCTTACGTTTGATTCGCTATTGTTACGTCCGCCACAACAATGTATCGCAAATTTGCTCTGGAACTCCCGAGAACCGTTAGGATTACGGAGGCGTTCGCGCCGTCATTACTTCCTATTCACATGCTAATGCCCTTCACACTTTTCTTATCGCCTGTACCACTCGCCGACTGCGCGTGTGTGCGTGCCTGAAAGCCGCCGCCTTTTACTTGAATGGGAAGGCTCAACAACTTTTTTTGATATGTATAAAGAAACGAGAATTGAATAGCGAACTCACTTATTACGTCCTAAGCAAAGACCGACTCCGCCCGTCTCTAATGTATGGATATTTGTTGTTTACAGGTAAAGGCCCCTTTCACATCACGCCGTTTGTATGGTATTCAATTTCGTAAGTACTTTTGTTTACGTGTTTTTTCTTTGAAAAGTTGTCGTAAATCGCTTGCAAGCAAATCACTTTATAAATATCTGATTGAGAACTAAATATGTGATTAAAGTTTTAATTAAAATGATTAAGATTATCAAACATCGATTGCTATTTATAATAAACTACTAGTCACCCAGTTGTTGAAATTCGACCATATTTAATGTACATTATAAGTTTGAACAATATTATTTTTTTATTTCGAGTTAATTTGATTAACTACTAAAACATATTCTACCGTTTGATTACACACCGCGCCATATACTCGACTCATTCATGGGTCTGTTTTTACCGGATGATTCGATATTGAGTCATTGTTGACGCATCTCTTTTTTATTATTATCGGTATGTTGACCATTGGGCACGTAAGCTTCTTTGTCGATGTTTTTTTAATACAAAACTGGTCAGCACTTGACTGCCATCCCCCCTGATGGTAAGTGGCAATGCAGCCTTTGTTGTCAATTCAATTAAAAATATAACTTATACAAAGTATGTACTGAATGTCCCCTACAGTCTGAAATTGTAATTTCTTTGACTGCCTTTTATAGAAGATTTAAACAAAATTAAATAAGAACTGATTTTAATATAGAAGTTTAAAGTTATATTTCGTTGGTAACGCCCAAGTTTTGATCCGTACAAAATAAAATGGCCATTCGAGTTTGGACTACAACACAACCTACTTGTGCTAGCGTAACTGGCAATTCTTTAACTTAAATCTTTAAAAAAAATGTAAAGGGTTCCGCTTCGAGAATTAATCCGATTAATCAAGTCCCCGGGCAAAAAGTCAAAGTGACTAATCGCCGCTCCCGGAGCGCGACAAAGTTAACCTCACTTAACGCCGAACTCGTCCCCTAGACTGAATCAATCCACAGTGTTCACGAGAACCCTATTGTTATATAAATAAAGACGTTTTTAATTTCAATTTCCTAAAGAGAAAATGGTGCACGACCAGGGTGGTGCGGCTGATGCTTAGTGACACCCCGGTTCCATCATTCGTGGGCTGGCAGTTGCCAACTTTATCTTTGACACCAGAAGGGGCAGAAAACTTTAAATAAATAAACTATACGATGGTCTATGAGGCCGCCCCTTGTGACAGTTGAAAGTAGTAGACGTATTCCCGCTGTCGTAGAAATTTTGAGACTTCCAATTAATAAAGAGCACACACTTCTGTTGATCATTCACGGCCGTTCTCATCAGGTGTTGGCTGTAGAGATCCAAATCCACGGTTTTGCCCAGCGATAAAAACTCGTAATGACCGATGCCTTTCCAATCCCGACATATCTGATTGTTATTGTTTAAGCAAGACACATAGCAATCACTTTAAAATATTCTAATATATAACCCAACGTATGAAATGCTATCTCACGTATAGTTTTGTAAAACCAATTTGTATAATTAAAAAAATAATTCTGTAGTAATAATATTATCATAGTTTGCATCACGAAAATGTAAAATACATTTTATTATTTTGTTGTAGAAGGTAACAAGACTTGAGGAGTAGCTATAAATAATCAAGATTATAGAGTAGACTGAATGTTATTTAGAAAATATCAGGAAAATCTCTGCATCCAAGCAAATGTTCTGGAAAAGATAAGTTTATTAAGGCTTAGCAAAAGTTAGATAACTGAGCTTACTGGATCGAACGAAGGAAAAAGAAGCACATCAATTTTCTGAGTTCGTCAAAGTTTAGATTGAAATAAGCATATGATTTAAGTAAATCGATGAATGCTATTTAAAATTAACATAAAAGATGTCTTCGCAAAGAAATTCAAGTGATATACTGCCGGTTAGATGGTTAGTGAAAATAATTGTATATGAAAAGGTTATTACTTCAATTTAAAAAAAAAACAAATAACCGATACGATGAAATCGTGTATCACATAATCAACTCTTCTACTAAAGCTGTAACAGAAAAGAAAAACCCACGCTAGATTCAACGTAACGACTCCTACTTATTTAATATACTCAAAGCATTAAACAGACGAGCGGAGAGACCCTTTGCAAGCCAACTGAGTAAGAAACAAACAGCAGTTCGTACGTCGTACACAAATTATCGGATTTGCGTAAAACTTTAAAATCCTACGCGGTGCAAGCCGAACTTTCACCGGCCAACTTTGGCATTAAGCCCGCCAACCGTTGCTGCGCCGCGCTCACGGGATTCCGGACTTTATTCCCAGTGGCAAGGGCTAGGGGTGGGACTTGAGTGTTTCGGACGCCGGAATCCTTGTTTTGACAACTCATTATCGGTGCGTCCCTAATTGGATCGTCCGCCACCGCCTCGGCGGGATTCGGCCCGCGTGCCTATCGGCTTATTTGCGGAAGACATTTTCGCGTTTGTACAGTTGATTGCGCGAGACGGGGCGCGCTCTACATTCAAAACGCGCCTCCGCTTTCAAGCCGCGCTCCTTCCGCGCTTTGTGCGAATCGAAAGTTCGCGATTCGCGTATCGATTACCCTCCTTTTTCGTGCGTGGCAATTTGGTCGACGCGGCGTTAAGCTTGAGCGACAGCTCGCGGTTCGTGTTTGATCGTTTAAAATTTAATCTTGGTATTGGAAGGTCGGTCGATTTGATTCGATATATAATGATCCTTATGCTTAACATGTCTTCTTTGAAATGCAAGGAAGTTCTTTACTTATATACAGCTTGTACTGCTTAAATATAAATTGAGCTATAATCTCTAATTCTCTATGTAAATATTTCACTAAGTTCCGAACGCCGTGACGCTAAAATCTTTTTCCTTACTGACGATAGTGATTGACTCTTCTACTTGGTACTAAGTGGTGACATAGTATTGATAAGTAAACGGCATAGCTCAGTGACACAATCACTTTGACGTTTAATTCTTTTCCTTGGATATTCCATTTGTCATGGGAAATGCAAAAAAAATGGTAGAAACGAATCGTTCCAAATTCAAACAATATTCCAAAAACGCCCGCGTCAGTTCCGCAACTACAAGACTCGGCAATTACAGAACGCAGATCGGCCGCCCATTGTTTCCGACGATGAATCGGGGTCCAATCAGTGCGGGGCGGGGGGGGGGGTTGCGTCCAAATTAAATCCGCGCAATTTGTTGTAATAGGCCCCGGCGATATCCAACGTAAACACTGGCCCTCACGGCCGGGGCCTAATTTCGTCAAACGGACGACCGATCCGTTTTGATATATTCATCCGTGGGGCGGAATAACAAACAGCTACGTTTAGCGAATCCGCGATTAGCTGCTTCGTTGTAACGTTGTCGAGTTAATTGTTTCGAACTATGTACCAGCTGGACGAATATGGCACGCTGACGTCATAAGGGAATATAGGCGGATTAATTTTGATATCTTTGATTACAATAAAGCCTATTCCAAGGTCAAATATACCACTGA